ATACCAACGATGGGACACTATTCCTCCCACTGACATCAGTGATGGGGCGCTAGTCCTCCCACTGATACCAATGATGGGGCACTATTCCTCCCACTGATACCAATGATGGGGCACTATTCCTCCCACTGACACCAATGGCGGGACACTATTCCTCCCACTGATACCAACGATGGGACACTATTCCTCCCACTGACATCAGTGATGGGGCACTATTCCTCCCACTGATACCAACGATGGGACACTATTCCTCCTACTGATACCAATGATGGGGCGCTAGTCCTCCCACTGATACCAATGATGGGGCACTATTCCTCCCACTGACACCAATGATGGGACACTATTCCTCCCACTGACACCAATGATGGAGCACTATTCCCCCACTGACACCAATGATGGGGCACTATTCCTCCCACTGACACCAATGATGGGGCACTATTCCTCCCACTGATACCAATGATGGGGCACTATTCCTCCCACTGACACCAACGATGGGGCACTATTCCTCACTGATACCAACGATGGGACACTATTCCTCCCACTGACATCAGTGATGGGGCGCTAGTCCTCCCACTGATACCAACGATGGGGCACTATTCCTCCCACTGATACCAATGATGGGGCACTATTCCTCCCACTGACACCAATGGCGGGACACTATTCCTCCCACTGATACCAACGATGGGACACTATTCCTCCCACTGACATCAGTGGCGGGACACTATTCCTCCCACTGATACCAACGATGGGACACTATTCCTCCCACTGACATCAGTGATGGGGCACTATTCCTCCCACTGATACCAACGATGGGACACTATTCCTCCCACTGATACCAATGATGGGGCGCTAGTCCTCCCACTGATACCAATGATGGGGCACTATTCCTCCCACTGCAAAATTACAGTTCTGAAGTAGCAACGAAAATAATTTTATGGTTGGGGGTCACCACAATATGAGGAACTGTATTAAGGGGTCGCGGCGTTAGAAAGGTTGAGAACCACTGCCCTAGACAAAAGGAGCAATATAGTATGTATAAACTGAGGGACATAATGTTTATAATTTATGAAGCATCCAGAGTTTAGTATTAAATGTTCTTTAACCCTTTCACACTGCCCTTTTAGTAGACTTTAATGTCTGGGAGTCTTCACAGCTTCGCTATCATGTGGATGCTGTGATTTCACAGAGGTCACATGATCAAGAACCTGTCCTGTTGGCTCCCAATTAGAAGCCGTGACTGAGAATTGTTGGTGATACCTCGGTCAGTGTGCTGGGATTGCACAGTGAGCATGCTCTGAACACAACCTGAGGCTGCTGTGCATATATGCGGCCGCTGGGAGTTAAAGCCCATTTTTCCTGCAGCTACTGATATGTGTTATGTGGTCAGCAAGAGGTTTAAGAAACTGTTGCTGCAACTGCACAAGCCCTGCATATTGTGTAGTACTAACAATACAATATTATTCACATTAATATTCTTCTAAGCTGGCCATTTGCCAGTTAGCTTTTCCGTCGATTTGATCTGTTATGGTAGTTATACAAGCAACAGTGCGAAACAAACAAAGTCACACAAAGCAATCATGAACAGGGAATTTGAGATTCTTGATGGTTGAAAGTTTATACATACATATTTTATACATTTATATTGATTTTTAGTGAAAATACGATTGGATCAGATGACAAACTGCAAATGTAAGCAAGCCAAAGATAACGCAATTTGCTTTCCTGCAACTGTGGGTTGCAGGGAAGAAAATTTCTTGATTCTCCCATCAACACAGCCATTGTTGATGGGGGAATCCCTTCTACAGTGCTATTGTTTTCTCCCAGCGGGGAGCCTTCCTTGCCAGCAGAACACAATTAGGATTATTTACTAAAGCTGGGGAGCGCAAATTTTATTATTATTTATTTATTTCAGGTACTTGTAAAGCGCCGTCAATTTACGCAGTGCTTTACATATATTTTGTACATTCACATCAGTCCCTAATGCCAGCCATAGACGGGTCAAAAATCAGCCGATTTTACGGCCGGAAAAATAAAATCGGACGATTTTCGCACTGTTAGTGGGTTAATTGGTCGGCTGTTTTTCGGGGTTTTTGCACATTTTTTTATCGGTTATGTTGGAAAATTTGCGGCCAATTTTGATGATCGGCCGATTTTCCCAGCAATGATGGGAATTTTTATCGTTTTACCAATAAAAAATCTGCGCATGAGCCATGACCTGCAAGAAGAAGAAGAAAAAGAAGAATAAGAAGAAAAAGAAGAAGACAAAGAAGAAAAATATCCGCTATTATATTTTATATGAAAAAGTCTTGCGGTTGCAACAAATGTATCCAAATAAAAACGTAAGCCAAATAAGGTATTTGTATTGCTGTCACATTGTATGGTGTGCTCCCCTGTCTCTGAAAGGGACAGAAGTTATGGGGTTAATGCCGACCATAGACGGGTCGAAAATCGGACGTTTTTTTTTTTAACGTTGGTGGTAACGTCACCAATCGACGTCCGATTTTTCTTTTTTTTAAAAAAAAAATCAGCCGATGTTCGACCCGTCTATGGCCTGCTTAACCCTCAAGGGGCGTACAATCTAGGGTTTTGGTGCACTTCTGCATAGAAACCAATCATCTTCCAGATTTTATTGCCAAAGCTTAACTGAACAAGCTGAAGTTAGAAGCTGATTGGTTACCATGCAAAACTGCACCAGATTCTGAGAGAACCAGTTTTAGTAAATCTGGTAGATTATTGCTGGTGGCTATAGCAAAAAAACAACAGGCTGGATGTAGTGAAGTTGATCGATGGATCGACCTCAGTACAGCCAACCTGCCTATAGATGGATCGAACCTCTATGGCCAGCCATATGGCGGATTGCTAAATCAATTTGTGTACAATATTCTGCTAGTAAAGTGATATACATTCTTAGAGAAAATTGATACCTGTATGACCATCAGTAGATCAGTAAAAGGTAGACCCCCTCACTCCATAGGTTTTAGTTAATTCTACTTATCTAAGAGAGCAAATCTATGAAAAGCGTAACTGTGAATGACTGGCTTTATTGACATTTCTTCAGGGGGCTATTTAATCCTTGTGTATAGAAGTAAGCACCAGCCTACATATGCGTAATAGGAAAGCTTTCTATATGTTTTGTAAAACAGATAACAGGATTATATTTCCTGCGGTGCTTAGCAGCTGAATCAACACACAAGACTGCACTGAGGGAATAGTTGTATAAACCACCTGACATTACTGTATTTGCAATTCCAATACATTCACTCATAAGCTCATCAATCTTTAGACATATAATATGTGAAAAAGATGGAAAATGTATCAAAATCTCTTATATATTATGTTTGCCCTATTTACTGATTTCCTTTTACTGTGCCATACAACATATTTCTTCTTACTTATTATTATTAGTCTTAGTGATAGTTACTTTTGGACTACCATATTTTTTTCTGCAGTTATATTATATAAAGGGCAATATTAAGGAAAAGTAGCATATTTATTTATTTCAGGTACTTATATAGCGCTGTCAATTTATGCAGCGCTTTACACATATATATTGTACATTCACATCAGTCCCTAACCCTTTTGGTTTATCAAGGGGTGTACAATCTAAGGTCCCTAACTCACATTCATACATACACATACTAGGGACAATTTATACAGGATCCAATTAACCTACCAGCATGTCTTTGGAGTGTGGAAGGAAACTGGAGTACCTGGAGGAAGCGCATGCAGGCACAGGGTCACAGGGAGAGCGTGCAAACTCCAGGCAGGTGGTGCTGTGGTTGGGATTTGAACCATTGACCCTAGTGCTGCCAGGCAGAGGTGCTAACCACTAAGCCACTGTGCCGCCCATATTGGGCTCCATTCACAAAGCAGTATTGATCGCTTTAAGAGATACAGTAAAATACAGCTCAGTGTTTTTAAAAAAATTTTTGGCATTCATTATAAAACACTTCTAAAATACTGCATGCAGTATTTATCCAAAGTATGCAGTATTTATCTCATGAAACCATGCTGTATTATATCTCATGTGATATCCAGTGGGATGGATACAGTGGAGAAGAATTAGAACCCATGTCAGTTTTTATTGCTAATAAATAATAATTGCTAACAAAGTCAGTGCGGTCCCTGCAGCATATATATTAACCACTTCAATACAGGGCACTTATACCCCCTTCCTACCCAGGACAATTTTCAGCCTTCAGCGCTCTCACACTTTAAATGACGATTACTCAATCATGCCACACTGTACCCAAACAACATTTTTTTAATTCTTTTCACACAAATAGAGCTTTCTTTTGGTGGTATTTATTTACCACTGGGTTTATTTTTTTAGATATAATTTTAAAAATACCAAAATTTTAAAAAAAAAGCATTTTTCATCGTTTCTATTTTTACATTTTGCAAATAATTCATTTTTCTACATAAATTTAGGCCAAAATTTATATTGCTACATTTCTTTGGTAAAAATAACCCAAACCAGTGCATATTATGTAGTCTGTGTGAAAGTTATAGAGTCTACAAGCTGTGGTACCATTCAATGAAAATTGATCACACTTGATCACACCTGATGTACTGACTGCCTATCTTATTTCTTGTGGCCCTAACATACCAGGTAAGCACAAATACTCCCCAAATTATGCATTTTGGAAAGTAGACAGTCCAAGGTATTTAGTATAAAAACATGGTGATTTTTTCGAAGTTGTAATTTTTTCCCACAATTCTTTGGAAAATTAAGACTTTTATTTTACACAAAATTGTCATATTAACTAGTTGCCGACCACAGATAGCCGAATGACGGCTGCACTGCAGCCGGCCAGTTCTGAGTGGACGTCATATGACGTCCTCCCAGAACGCGCTCCCCTGAACCCCAGGGGGCGCGCACCCGGCGATCTCCTGATCGCTGCCTACGGACACAGCTGATCACGTGATGTGGTAAAAGGCCAATCACAGCGGCCTTTTACCACGTGATCAGCGGTGTCCAATGACACGCTGATCAGAGGGAAATGCAAGTGCCGGTTCTCGGCTGCACTCTCCTCACGCTGTCAGATCGTGAGGAAAGTACTGCCGAGAACCGGCAGTTGTCAGAGCGGGGATCGGCACCGATCATCAGGGCACTGATTCAGTGCCCTGATGATCGGTGCCCAGCAGTGCCACCCGCAAGTTCCGCCCACCTGTGCCCAGCAGTGCGCCCACTAGCTCCGTCCACCTGTGCCCAGCAGATCACCCACCTGTGCCCAGCAGTGCACCCACCTGTGCCACTCTGCAGTGTCCCACACCTGTGCCCAGAAGTGCCACCTACCTGTGCCCAGCAGTGCCACCCACCTGTGCCCACCCACCTGTGCCCACCAGTGCCACCCACCTGTGCCCACCCACCAGTGCTGCCCACCAGTGCCACCCACCAGTGCAGCCCAGCAGTGCTGCCAGTCAGTGCCACCAGTCAGTGCCCAGGGGTTGTGCCAGTCAGTGCCGCCAGTCAGTGCCCAGCAGTGATGCCAGTCAGTGCCGTCTATCAGTACCCATCATCAGTGTCACCTATCAGTGACCGCCTCATCAGTGCTGCATATTAGTGCCGCCTATCCGTGACACCTCATTAGTGCTGTCTATCAGTGCCGCCTATCCGTGCCACCTCATTAAAGGACAAAAAATACCTGTTTGAAAAATTTTATAATAGAAACAAAGAAACTTTTTTTTTTTTTCAAATTTTTTGCACTTTTTTTATTTATAGCGCAAAAAGTAAAGTGCCCAGTGGCGATTAAATACCAGCAAAAGAAAGCTCTATTTGTGAGAAAAAAATGATCAAAATTTCATATGGGTACAATGTTGCATGACCGCGCAATTGTCAATCAAAGTGCAGCAGCGCTGAAAGCTGAAAATTGGCCTGGTAAGGAAGGGGGTATAAGTGCCTGGTAGGCAAGTGGTTAACAAGTTATTTCTCCTTTAAGGCATAGTCATACTTACAATTGCACCCCAAAATACATTCTGCTCCTCCTCCTGAGTATAGCAATACCACTTGTGTGAGACTTTTCCACAGCCTGGCCACATCCAACATCCACATAGCACCACCAGGCATTCTATGGGCATAAAAAGGGCATAAATTACAGATCTAATTTCCTGACTACCTAGCACATTTTTGAGGGCCTGAAGCACCAGGACATTGGAATTGCCCACAAAATTAGCACATTTTGGAAAGCAAATTTCCCAATGTATATTCTAGGAGGCATAATAAGTAATTTGAATATGCCATTTTTTAAAAAAAAGTTTATGGAAAATGTGGAAAGAAAATTCAAACATATTTTTTTCCACACAAAGTTGTCAATTTATAAGATATTTCTAACAAACAGGATGTACATACCAAGAATTATACCCCAAAATACATTCTACTACTTCTCCTGAGTATGGTGATACCACATGTCAGAAACTTTTACACAGCCTGGCCACATAGAGGCACTGATGATGAGCAGCACTGATGAGGCAGCAGGCAGGGTACAGACAGTTTGGGTATAGTTGGTACTGATATGCAGCAGTGATGAGGGGCACAGCAGTGATGGGGCACTGTGTGACAGTTTGGGTACTGTGACAGTTTGGGTACTGTGTTTGGGCATGTGTGACAGTGGGCACTGTGTGACAGTTTGGGTACTGTGTGACAGTTTGGGCACTGTGTGATAGTTTGGGCACTGTGTGACAGTTTGGGCACTGTGTGACAGTTTGGGTACTGTGTGACAGTTTGGGCACTGTGTGACAGTTTGGGTACTGTGTGACAGTTTGGGCACTGTGTGACAGTTTGGGTACTGTGTGACAGTTTGGGTACTGTGCGACAGTTTGGGCACTGTGTGACAGTTTGGGCACTGTGTGACACTGTGTGATAGTTTGGGTACTGTGTGACAGTTTGGGCACTGTGTGACAGTTTGGGTACTGTGTGATAGGTTTGGGTACTGTGTGACACTGTGTGATGTTTGGGTACTGTGTGATAGTTTGGGTACTGTGTGACAGTTTGGGTACTGTGTGACACTGTGTGACAGTTTGGGTACTGTGTTTGGGCACTGTGTGACAGTTTGGGCACTGTGTGACAGTTTGGGCACTGTGTGACAGTTTGGGTACTGTGTGACAGTTTGGGCACTGTGTGACAGTTTGGGCACTGTGTGACACTGTGTGATGTGACAGTTTGGGCACTGTGTGACAGTTTGGGGGTACTGTGTGACACTGTGTGATAGTTTGGGTACTGTGTGACAGTTTGGGTACTGTGTGACAGTTTGGGCACTGTGTGACAGTTTGGGTACTGTGTGACAGTTTGGGCACTGTGTGACAGTTTGGGCACTGTGTGATAGTTTGGGCACTGTGTGACAGTTTGGGTACTGCGTGACAGTTTGGGCACTGTGTGACAGTTTGGGCACTGTGTGACAGTTTGGGTACTGCGTGACAGTTTGGGTACCGTGTGATAGTTTGGGCACTGTGTGACAGTAATACAGTAACTCATTACGATGGCACAAATGGCTCTTTCCCTCACACTTGTCTCTGTGTGAGGGAAGGAGAGCTGTCAACCCCCAGATGACCTGCAGTGTTTTACATATAGTGATCACGTGTCATTAGACATGCTGATCACGTGGTAAAGGGCCGCTGTAATTGGTCTTTTACCTTAATCTGTGATGCGCTGTGTCTAAGGGACACAGCGATCACAGGAACTCCCGGATGCGCGCCTCAGGGGTGCCCCATGGACGCCCTCCCAGAACTAGAAAAACTCGCTGTAGCCATCTTTCGCTTATAGTCGGTCACTATAAAAGTTGCACCTGACTGATATACATGCGACTTGTGTGTGACATTGTACAGCGCAAACAATCATCCTTGGTCAAAGCCAAAGTCGCACCAAAGTCACATCAAAGTCGCATCAAAGTTGGGTCAAAGTCACATCAAGGCACACCGTAAAGTCGCAATGGAAATCGCATAATTTTGAAGTCGCACAAGTGTGAATGGAGCCTAAAAGTACCGTATTTTTCCATAAGATGCACTTTTTTCCCCCCAAAAAAAGGGGGGAAAATGTGAGTGCGTCTTATGGAGCGAATATAAAGCGGCCGGTCCGGTATTTCCGCCGCCACCATGTCAGAATACCGGGCCGTCCGCTCAGCTGTTCTCTGCGGCAGGAACTCACTGTTCCTCGCTCCAGCGCTGTAGTCTTCCAGCCGGCTTCTTCCCGCCCTGGCATCTGTGACATCCGGGTGCCCACTGCGCATGAGTGAGAAGAGCTGCGCTTTGTGAATGGTCCAGTGTCTTCTGGGACACATGACAGGTCCCAAAAGACGTCGGGCCATTCACAAAGCGCAGCGCTTCTTGCACATGTGCAGTGGGCACCCGGATGTCAAAGTCGGGTGCCAACAGTATAGGAAGGAGAACTCCACAGAAGTGGAAGCGGGTACCTGTCAAATTCAGGTACCCGCTCCCCCTCCCTCCCTAAAGGTCCGCAGTGTCTGGTCATGCCCTGTACTGTCTGCAGTCTCTGGTCATCCCCTTTGCTGTCTGCAGTCTCTGGTCATCTCCTGTACTGTCTGCAGTCTCTGGTCATCCCCTGTACTGTGTCCACAGTCTCTGGTCATCCCCTGTACTATGCCCTCAGTCTCTGGTCATCCCCTGTACTATGCCTGCAGTCTCTGGTCATCTCCTGTACTATGTCTGCATTCTCTGGTCATCCCCTGTACTGTGTCCGCAGTCTCTGGTCATCCCCTGTACTGTCCGCAGTCTCTGGTCATTCCCTGTACTGTCCGCAGTCTCTGGTCATCTCCTGTACTTTGTCCGCAGTCTCTGGTCATCCCCTGTACTGTCCGCAGTCTCTGGTCATTCCCTGTACTGTCCGCAGTCTCTGGTCATCCCCTGTACTGTCTGCAGTCTCTGGTCATTCCCTGTACTGTCCGCAGTCTCTGGTCATCCCCTGTACTGTCTGCAGTCTCTGGTCATCTCCTGTACTGTGTCTGCAGTCTCTGGTCATCTCCTGTACTGTGTCCGCATTCTCTGGTCATCCCCTGTATTGTGTTCGCAGTCTCTGGTCATCCCCTGTACTGTCCGCAGTCTCTGGTCATCCCCTGTACTGTCTGCAGTCTCTGGTCATCTCCTGTACTGTGTCCGCAGTCTCTGGTCATCTCCTGTCTATGTCCGCAGTCTCTGATCATCTCCTGTACTTTGTCCGCAGTCTCTGGTCATCTCCTGTACTGTGTCCGCAGTCTCTGGTCATCTCCTGTACTGTGTCCGCAGTCTCTGGTCATCTCCTGTACTATGTCCGCAGTCTCTGGTCATCTCCTGTCTATGCCCGCAGTCTCTGGTCATCTCCTGTACTATGTCCGCAGTCTCTGGTCATCTCCTGTACTATGTCCACAGTCTATGGTCATCTCCTGTACTATGTCTGCAGTCTCTGGTCATCTCCTGTAATATGTCCGCAGTCTCTGGTCATCTCCTGTACTGTGTCCGCAGTCTTTGGTCATCTCCAGTACTATGTCTGCAGTCTCTGGTCATCTCCTGTACTATGTCCTCAGTCTCTGGTCCATCTCCTGTACTGTGTCCACAGTCTCTGGTCATCTCCTGTACTATGTCCACAGTCTCTGGTCCTTCTCCTGTACTGTGTCCGCAGTCTTTGGTCATCTCTTGTACTGTCTGCAGTCTCTGGTCATCTTCTGTGCTGTGTCCGCAGTCTCTGGTCATTCCCTGTACTGTCCGCAGTCTCTGGTCATCCCTGTACTGTCTGCAGTCTCTGGTCATCTCCTGTACTGTGTCCGCAGTCTCTGGTCATCCCCTGTACTGTGTCCGCAGTCTCTGGTCATCCCCTGTATTGTGTTCGCAGTCTCTGGTCATCCCCTGTACTGTCCGCAGTCTCTGGTCATCCCCTGTACTGTCTGCAGTCTCTTGGTCATCTCCTGTACTGTGTCCGCAGTCTCTGGTCATCTCTGTCTATGTCCGCAGTCTCTGATCATCTCCTGTACTATGTCCGCAGTCTCTGGTCATCTCCTGTACTGTGTCCGCAGTCTCTGGTCATCTCCTGTACTGTGTCCGCAGTCTCTGGTCATCTCCTGTACTATGTCCGCAGTCTCTGGTCATCTCCTGTACTATGTCCGCAGTCTCTGGTCATCCCCTGTACTGTCTGCAGTCTCTGGTCATCTCCTGTACTGTGTCTGCAGTCTCTGGTCATCTCCTGTACTGTGTCCGCATTCTCTGGTCATCCCCCTGTATGTGTTCGCAGTCTCTGGTCATCCCCTGTACTGTCCGCAGTCTCTGGTCATCCCCTGTACTGTCTGCAGTCTCTGGTCATCTCCTGTACTGTGTCCGCAGTCTCTGGTCATCTCCTGTCTATGTCCGCAGTCTCTGATCATCTCCTGTACTATGTCCGCAGTCTCTGGTCATCTCCTGTACTGTGTCCGCAGTCTCTGGTCATCTCCTGTACTGTGTCCGCAGTCTCTGGTCATCTCCTGTACTATGTCCGCAGTCTCTCTGGTCATCTCCTGTCTATGCCCGCAGTCTCTGGTCATCTCCTGTACTA